AAAAAAAAAAAAAAAAAAAAACAATTTGCAACACCAAAAATTCTCTGTGAGTATACAGAGTTCATTCAGAGATCAGAAGAAGAAATCCAAGGAGTTCAAGATTTTAAGGACTTATCAAAAATTAAAAAACTTTGTGTAAAAGATAACTAGACAGTTTTTTTAAAATTAAAAAGCAGTTATTATAAGGAACTTGCAAAAATGTATGGTTTGCCTATTCTTTTCTAGCCCTTTTGAAATAAATTTTGACTTGGTCAAACTTCCTCAAGAAAAATAAGTTATCACTTTTACACATATATTTTAATAAATCTTGTTAAAGTACAGATGTTAAAGATTAACATAAAAACCTACCAATCTTATATTTTTAAATTTGAGTACATAAGAAAATCTAAGGCATTTTATACAAAAAAAATCACAGTAAATTATTAAGTTTGCTTGTAACATGTAAAATTAAAATTATTTGCTGTTATTTCTTTTTTCTCTTAATTCTTGCAATTAAATTTTTTTTTCTTTTAAAGTTTTTATTAAATTATTAGATATTGACAGCTATGTCATATCATTAGTTTCCCTGTTAGGACAGCAAATTCATCAGCGTACTTAGTAAGTTCATCTATGCAACACAATCTAAGGAGTTTCTAAGGACTAATTTAGAAATCTAAGTAGTTCCAAGTACTCCTTAGAGACTTTTTTTACTTCCAAGGAGTATAAGGAGTCTGTACGCACCCTGGAATAAAACCCAAAATATTGTTTTCATTTTTATTAGTTTTTTGTTGTTGTTAAGTTTGTGAAAAGTAAAAAAAAAAAAAAACATTTGGCCAAGGTAGTTGACGTAAATACCGCAATATCATTTATAATCAAAGTTTGACGTTTAACATTTACACTATTTAAAAGTCAGAAAAAAAGGAGTAAAAAAAAAAAACTTTTTAATCTGAGAAAAATAACACTTTCCAAATATGAGGATTATTTAGTCATTAGCTTTTGGAATGAGGGAGAAAAAATAAATTCCTCTATTTCTTAATAAAATAAAGATTATTATTTATTTAATTTTTTGTTGAATGTCCACTTTGTTCAGGTTACAAAAATAAATAAAATGAAAAAGCTGTCGGAGATCTTCAATTTCGGCAACTTCTCACTTATGCAACTCTAATTGGAAAGTATGTACCCAAGTTATTACTTTGCATACAAATAAAAGGTGCTTACCTGTTTCAAGGGAAACAACAAAAAAGCCATAATCACACTTTATCAGGCAAAGTTTTTAGATAAGAGGTCTAACTTATCTGATCTTTCGTAGAGAAAAAATTCTTCTCTTTCCCCTTTTTTAAAAAATATTTTGTATTTTTCTTTTAAGATAAAGACATTGCACTTCAAATTACCCTAATTACTGTTAAATTATTTTTAGACTAAGTTATTATAAAATATTTTATAATATTTATTTGTATTTTTTATTCCATTTTGAAGAACACTTATCTAGCTAGCTGTAATGAGATGGTAGGTAAATTAAGCAAAATGAGGGCCTTTCAAAAATGTCAAAAGTACCTAGCTCTTCATTTTATTTTTAGAGAAATTTCGAAGTACGACATCATTACCACAATTAACGAATCATCGCCAGTGTCGATACCAGTGTGGCAATTTTTTTAATAGTTCTCAATAACAGATTAAAAAAACTTTTGACAAAAAATGTGCTGCGTTGTTCTAACAATAGTATACAATAGCACAGGATTAACTACAATGTTTAAAATAAACTCGAGACATATTTATGGGCCCCGTGGCAGAATTTTTTCGAACTATCTATGACAAAGCCCTCTAGCACTAATATCTTTCTGAAAGATACTTTTAATGATAACTAACATATATGTTAACAATTTAAAGTAACAAAAGAACTGTGTTTAGAAAGAAAAAAAACTATATAATTTGTTTTTAACTGAACATGTAATAATTTTTCACTCTAATATTATGGGTGATATTATTGAATTTTGATAGGGGGTGGAACGTACAAATTAACTCCTTTTCATATTTTGTATATAATCATCACAATAAAAAAAATAATAGGTAATTAAAAATCATGAAATCCATAGTAGCAATTGCTGAAAAAAAGATCAAAAACTGATTAAAAGCATGTCAAAAAGTGATTATCTACATGATTGATTCAAGTATTACGTGTAAATTTCTCTAGAAGAGAAAAGTAATTTTTATTTTTACTTTTCAAAAGAAAAATCTTTCTGCAAGAACTCTGTAACGTTCTGCAACAATGTCGCAACGATTCTGCCACAGGGTTTATGGGTCAACATATAAAACTTAAAATTATGTTTAACTCTGCACAGAACCCAAAATCTCGATATTACTAAGAGAGTGAGAAAATAGACCAAAAACTGATAACATAGAAATTTCTCATACATAGACTTTATAATAAACTTTGTAAAAATGGGAAAGGAAAATTATAATCACAAATACCCTTTGGCATGAAAACCAGATGATACAATACTTTTTAGTCATTCTAAACTATTCACAATAAAGTTCTTCTAGAAGGAGTATTTGATATATCACAAAAAAGCCTCCTACATTCACTATCTATAGAAGATGATGTTAATGCGGCAGATGTTCAATCACTGCCTGAGTAAAATCTGTTGTGCTAGAGTATCCTCCCAAATCTCTCGTTCTCACTTTACCTTCCTTCAATACGTTCTCGACAGCCTCCGCTACGATGTTTGCATAATATACGAGGTTGACGTGACGCAGCATTCCCACGGCACAGAACAGCATGGCCGTTGGGTTGGCAATGTTCTTGCCCACCGCTTCTCCGAACGTGTGACGAGCACCCGGCTCGTGTATGACGCACTCGGAACTGTAACTCGCACCGGGCACCAGTCCGGCTCCCCCCACGATGCCCGCGGCCAGGTTGTCTATGATGTTCCCGTAAAGATTGGGCATGACCATCACGTCGAACTGCTCGGGGTGGGCCACGAGCTGCATGCAGGTGTTGTCGATGATCATGTTGGAGAATTCGATTTGGGGATAGAGCTTGGAGACCTCCTCGCAGCATCGGAGGAAGAGACCGTCTCCCAGCTTCATGATGTTCGCTTTGTGGACGGCTGTCACCTTCTTGCGACCCCTCTTGGTGGCGTAGTCGAAAGCAAACTTGGCGATTTTTGCAGACCGCTCTTGGGTGACGATTTTGAGGCACTCGATAACTCCAGGAACACTTTCATGCTCCAGAGCGCTGTACTCCCCTTCCGTCTGCTCCCGAATAATCACAAAGTCCAGGTTACTGTGCCGAGTTTTTACTCCGGGAAAAGTTCGAACGTGGACGACATTGGCGAATAAATCCAAGTCCTTTCTGATCTTCATGTTGAGCGTTTGCAATTCACCGGTGTGGGTGCTGAATGGAGACTGCAAGGTACCTTTCAGGGCTACTCCGTTTTTTTTAACAGATTGCATCACCTCTTCGACAGAAACGCTCATAGATTGGTGAACCTCGCTCAAGAACAACTCTTCGAATTCTACGGGAACACTAATAGCCTGAAAAACATCCTTGACTGACTGGCAAAGTTCGGGACCAACGCCGTCGCCTGGGATTAAAGTGCATTTCACGCGCTTGTCGGTTTTTCTCGCATCCTCCAGATTATGTACGGGAGACCAAAAGATACTTCTGACATTTTTTGTTAAAATATTGGACTGAGTTTTGTTCAAGAGAGGAGAATGGCGCAAAAAAGTAAATAAATTCCGTGCAGCTGCCATTGCTTCAATGAGCTCAAGAGCAAGAAGGTCACGTTTTCTCCGAATTTCACTACGCAGCTTGGAATCTCCTGCTCTGGCTAATCTCCAAAATAGAAGCTTGTTTCTCCTCCACTCGTGGCGCTGCAAATTACAATTTCTCTTCACCGAGATTTATCTAGAAAGTTTGTCAAAGCGGTATTTTAATTCCATATCAAATATAAACGAAAGAGAACAGATATTCTTAAGGAGTGAAAGTTGAAGGATGACCGGACGAAACGAAAAGAGAAGAAACATTTTAGATTTTAATGCATTGGGAATGGATATCAACGAAATGTTTATTTGTTTAAATGGTTAGTGTCTTCAAATTATTTGTGGATGCCCGTGGGGGGGGGAAGCCTTCAATGTTCCGTCCTCCTATTCATTTGCTCAAAGACACCCGATTTAAAGAACCTCTATTTAGCGAATGTCGTGATTTAACGAATTAGAGAGAGAGGAATGAAAACCAACTCACCTTTGAAAAGAATATTTGAAGTTAAATCAACAAACACTTGCGTAAAACAATGATAAAAATTACAAAAACTTTTCAGGTTTATTGCTATAAATAGAGCTAAATTTAACTTTAAACAAATTTTAATATTTAAAAAATACTTGACATTTAAAAAGTGTAAAAAAAAAATTTTCAAGACTGAATTTAAACACTGAAGT